TAATTAAATATTAAATTTTAAATATATTTATATCAGAATTAAAAAAAATTTTAATATTTTTTTTTTTTATAAAATATGAAGACATGTGAAACTATTAATAACTTTGCGGTGTGTGATAAGAAATTTTTTCCTTCAATTTTATAAATTTGAGCAACATATCAATGTTTATCATCAATCATTATTATATAAAAAAAATCAAGACATTGAGATATTAAAATTTATTGATTTTGAATGCAAGCTTTACTTTGTAGTAGAATAAGTTCCATAATATAGTTTGGCACATCAATTGCATATCATTAATTGATTATTTTTGTGCTTAATATCTGATTAACTCATTTTAGATTCCTGCACAAATTTGTCATTTGTCATTTCACATAGGATAGCAAAATTAGCGGTGCAGATTTTATTTCAAAGCTTAATTGTGTCATTAAAATCTCATTGATGAGCGTTTAATGCCTAAAAATCAAGCTGGTAGGGTGTTTAAAAATTTAGATTACCTAATTTGTTTTAATCTCATACATTTAAGAAAGTCTAATAATTTAAAATGTATGACATAAAAATTTTATGAAAGGAAAAAAAAAATCATATAATCTTGTATAGTGTAGAAAAACTTATATTGTTTGTAAAAAATGTTTGCACATCCATGTAATTAAATAAATTTTTGTACAAAACTATACCCTAGATGATTTAAAATGGTGCTGCTAAAAGAATAAGTGATGCGTCACAAAAAAATTCATCTTGATCGGACACGAATCTCGATGTAAAAATGAGAGAAAAGTTTTAAAAAATAAATTCAAGATCAGCTGAATTCCGATTTAAAAAAACTCATATTTAAACTAAATGTCTTGAAGAGACGAACCAATCAACACCAAAATAAGTCCAATTAGAGTCCAAATGAACCCAAATCAAGGGTGCAAAGTATACTTGGAGACTTCAAAGCATTAATTGGATGCCTGTCGAATATGACATGCTAACAGTTGAGTCGAGCGGCTCAACGAGGCAAATCCAAAAAGCCCAAGATCATCAAATTCGGGCAGCATAAAGGCACTTAAATGCTTGATCAATAGTCTATGATTCAAGGCATCAATATCAACAATCCATTCTAATACTCACAACTTAACCTTGATCCTCCAAATATTTACAAGCTATGTCACTCTAGAAAAACTATAAATAGTCCCCCATTCTTCACATGAAAGAGGGGGGAAAGAATGAGAAAATTTCGGGAGTTCTCTTGCCACTGATCATTACTAGAGTTCTTCCCGACCTTCTCCATAGTTCTTCATAACCATCGCCGAAGCTCTCTTGCCCTTCGACCGTCACTGGAATTCTTCTCGATCATCTTTGTAGTTCTTTATGACCATCGCCGGAGCTCTTTTGCCATATATCGTCACCAGAGTTCTTCTAGAAAATCATCCTAGTTTTTCCCGACCGTCATCGAAGTTCTTCCTAACCACCATTAGAGTTCTTCCCAATCACCACGAGAGTTCTTCCTGACTGCCGCCAGAGTTTCTTCATGACCATCACCTTAGTTCTTCTCGACCATCACCATAGTTCATCATTACCATCGCTGAAGCTCTCTTGCCATCAATTATTGCCAGAGTTCTTCCCGACAGTCGTCGTAGTTCTTCTCGGTGGCCGTCGGAGTTCTTCCCAAATGTTGCCAGAGATCTTCTCGACCTCCATTGGAGTTATTTCCAACTGTAGCCAGATTTCTTCTTGACTACAATTAGACTTCGGCCCGTTCATCATCCATCTTTGAAATTCTATCCATTCATTGAATGCCTCCAGATCTATTCCCAACCACCGGCTGTCGCCGGACTTTCGTACGTTCTCTGATTTTTACCAGAACTCTTCTTGGATGCTATACACCGTATCTCCTCCCAAATATCATTACCAGCCCACTAGTCCCTATGACTACCGTCGCTCGACTACGATTCTTCTGACCTCCATCGCCCGCCGTTTACGATTTCTCTAACCATCAGTGTTAGACTATGGCCTCTACGACCATCGTTTACCGACTATTGTTCTTTTGTTCTCCATCACCTGCTATTTATGGTCTCTTTGACAATGCCAAACTATGGCCTATACAACCATCATTGCCTAACTAATGTTCTTTCGATCTCTATCACTCGTTGTTTATGGTCTCCTTGACAATGCCAGACTATGGCCTCCACGGCCATCGTTGCCCCGACTACGATTCTTTCGATCTCCATCGCCCGCCGTTTATAGTCTCTTCGACCAACAATGTCGAACTATGGTCTCTACAACCACCATCACTTGATTACGATTCTTCTAATCTCCATCAACCATCGTTTACAATCTCGCTGACTATCAATGCCAGACTATGGCCTCTACAACCACCATCGCCTGACTATGATTCTTCTGACCTCAATCGCCTTCTATTTACGGTCTCTCCAACTGTCAGTGCTAGAATAGAATCTCTAAGACCACTGTTGTCCGACTACAGTTTTTCTGACATCCATCGCCCATCGTTTACGATCTCTCTGACCATCAATGTCATATTATGATCCTTTCGGCCTCCGTTGCTTGCCGACTACAATTCTTTCTACCACAATTGCTTGCTGACTATAGTTTCTTCAACTAACATCGTCCTCCAGTTATGGTTTTGCCGACCAAATGAATAGACCAATACTTATTCTTCCAACTCCCACATGTAATGCATTCTACGTGATGTATATTGTCCACATTGAATGAAGGCCTTCCCCTAAAAAAACTAGTGAATTCATTCAAATTGGGCAATGCCTCATAGTTTCCCCCCTTTTTAGGGGTTTATACGTAAAATTTTTTGTGTCTCTTATAAACATAGCGTCCCTTCTTATTTATGTGTTTATGTGCAGAATCTTTGTATAAAGTTAGGATGCTAAAATTTATATTTCTCTGCCGTTGAGAATTTTCCAAGATGCAAAAGTAAGTGTAGGTTTGCAGCTCTACTACATGATTACAAGGTTTCTGCCTTTATCTTCTTTGGAAACATGGCAATTAAAAATTCTCTAAGCACAAGAACTCCAGCTTCATAATTGGCTTCATAATAAATAAATAAATAAATATATATATATA